ATTTTCTAAAAATATGAGACTGCAGGCAGATGAATTTCTAAGCACTGGGGTTGTAGGGGATATTGAACATCTACTAGCCTTTTTGATTATTGATGGGAATTGTACATTGGTTGGGAGGTAATGAGAACCCAACAGATGTCATGTCTGGTGCTGGAGCAGTTAAAAGAGGACCATGTCCTGGTTTGAACAGAAGGGACATTAACAGAGATGTGTGTGTTGTAGATGGAGTTGCTGAAGGAGAAATAGATCATGCAATTAATACAAGTAACATCTCTGACAACGCAGGAAACACTGCAGAAAAGGCAGCATGCCAATTGAAAGGGCCTTTTGCAAAGAAGACAAGGACTGAATAATTTCTACTAGATGGGACAAGGAAGAGTATAGTAACTATCACTATGCATCTCCGTATCTTTGCCGAATTTTTTCACTTTGGTCAACATGTTGTTTATCATGTTTTTGTTTTAAATTGTTTTTTTTTATGCTTTTCCACCATATGTTACCTTCTCAAGTCAATTAATGATTATTCATAAGAAATATAGTATAGCATTTAGTCTGTTATATGTAATTAATACTCCATTATAACAGCTGTAAACAAGCTTCATTGCAAAACAAACAGACAAAACGTGATGCACAAGTAACTTTCCAACCTAATAAACTTCCAAATAACTTTTAAACGTTTTGACGACGCAGCTTATAACACCCAAATTTGGTTTAAACTTTAACCAGAGTGTTGAATATACTTGGAGCCGATTCTTGGCATCATATAGTACTGGTCTAACTAAATTATAACTGGGATTTCAACACTAGTATAGTTACTCATAACCACATCCTTTCATTTGTTGCATTTTTTTTACTAGCTTGTAATCGTAAAGCAACCAAAAAAACTAATAGTAGTTCAAATAAACCAAGATACTCGAGTCAATAGAGCCTGATAACAATTTCAAGGAAACTCTTATTAATGCGCCGAAATACGGAAAAGAAAATCAAAGTAAAATTAATGTATTATTTATATAATTAGATATTATTTGTGCATCTCCATCTGTTTGTTTGTTTGTTCTGAGTGTCATTTCCAACCTACATAAAATGAAATGGCACTCGGAAAAACATACTTGGACAAATCAGGAAAGACACTAAGGAAAACAACATGACATGAAATATGAAATCATTCGTTAAGTAAAAATTATATAATTTATGGTAATCCAGTTTTCCATTGATTTAACAAAATAACAAAGTCACAAATATATAAATATATAAATATATAATTATATAATAATCAAAGTAGGATAATTTATCTAACTATGTCTCACATTAAGTTTAAAAATTTAGATGCTTTATGATAAAAAGGGTTAATACATATTTTTAAAATCAAAAATATTTTATAATACACAGTTTTAGAGTATTAGTGATTGGAAAATATTATTTCTTGATTGACCACTTCCAAAATATAAGATAAATTATTACAAAGTCTTAGCAAAACATCAACAATTCATACCTAAAGTTATAAAATATTTTATGTGAAGATTAATACAATTTTCATGCATATAATTAAATTTTACTAACTATTTGATTTCTCTAAACCTCATAATCAATGCTGTAGGAATTAAACCTAAAACTAAAATATTTTATAAGTTGGACAAATATTTTTTTAAATGAAAATTAATTTTGATAAATTCACAAAAAAATACATATTAATATCTAAACTATATATTTAAACTATTATAAAATCTAGCGTGTAGCACCGGTATACCACTAGTAAATTAAAAAAAAAATCAAATAATCATGTCAGCTAATGCAGATGTAATTTGAATAATACGCATGATGCAAAGAATTATCCGCCATAATCAAGAAACTACAATAAAGCTCACTATCTATATTTTTAACGTATGTTCTATCTTATATAAAAAATATATTATAGAACAATTGTAAAACTTTTACTATAAGACAACCAAGCGTCTACGTTCAGAGAGCTGCAATACATAAGTAATTGGAAATATGGAAGTTGTCATGCTGACAAGTAATATCCCTAAAATATGTAAAAGTTAACAACTCAACAGTGCAATACACTATGATTAATATCAGATTTAGTCCGTGCTACGCGCGGATTATATATTTCAATTTTTTTTACTTTACTTATATGTTTATAGTATATTTCTTTAAGACTATAATATATTTTAACAGTTATAATAGTTTAAGCTAATATAAATACTCGCCTTTTAAAGCGAAACTAAACTAAATCTCTTATTAAAAAATTAAATTTCATAAAAAGTAAAGAAAACAACTTTACAAAATGTTGTATGAGTTCAAATCACTAAAACTTGTATGAAAAATATTACTATTTACTATGTCATTTGTTAAACTATAAACAAAAATTAATATATTACTATCTAACTATAGTTAAAATATAATTGTGGATTAACTCAGTGTGAAATTAAGATATTTTCAATAGATATGCAAAATTTATTTAATCTTTATAATGAAATACTTTTTACAGCTATCATTCTAAAATACCAATCAGGTTATTAGATTGTTATTAAAATACAGTTTTATATACTTTTAAACTTAATTTTGACTTATTTATATTTCGTTTACAACATGTATTAATTCATGTTTAATGGTTAAACTGGATTTTTAATATATTTCAGTCCAACAATATGATCCAAGAACATTATGTTCATATTTTATATTTCCAGTAAAAACATTCTACAATCTTGTATTAATAACACAAATTAAAAATATAATTTCTTTTTTATTCAATATGGCATCCTTAACTTTTATTTCCTTTTTAAAGTTTTAGTGATTTGGAGGATTTTTTTATTTTTTGTAAACTTCATACACTTTTGATTTTGGATTTTCAACATAAAAACCCCTCAACTAAGTTTGTTTTGGATAAAAACCCCTAAACTAAGTATTTAATAAAAAAACCTCCAAACTACCTTTATTTAGTGAATTAAACCCTCGCCAGTCATAATTACCAGTGCTACCGGTAAATTTTTAGTTTAGGGGTTTTATCATTAAACATAAAAAATTTAAAAAAAAACAAAAAAAAATCAAAATATAATAACATTATCTAAAAATTCGTAATTGTAATTTTCAAAACTAGCATTTTAAATTTTTTTGTAAATATAACCGTGATTTCCTGTCCTTGTAAAATGGATTTTTAACTCTAAAATACCTTAACTACGTTTTTTGGGGTAAAACCCCCCAAACTAACAAGTAAACCCCCATATTAAAGATAGTTGAAGGGTTTTTATCGTTAAAAATCTAAAAAAAAAATTATAACATTATCTAAAAATTAGTAACTTAAATTTTTAAAATAGCATTTTTCAAACTTTCTGTAAATATATTAGTTTGATTTGTTTTAACATCAACATTATATATATATAGATTAAAATTTTAAAACACCAAAATATAATAAAAATCATCTAAAGATTTATTATTACATTTTTATTAAATAAAATATAATTTTTATTCTGTTTTCTTGTTTTTATATTTATAACCTTTGATAATTTTTATTACAGGTAAATATTTAGATAATTTTTGTTATATTTTCTTGGTTTTTACATTTTAAATTTATACATATATAATTTTGATTTAAAAGGATAACAAATCAGACTCATATAGTTACAAAATGTTTTTTTTAAATGCAAATTTTGAAAATTAAAATTACGAATTTTTAGATAGTGTTATTATATTTTGAATTTTATTGATTTTTATGTTTAATGATAAAACCTCTAAACTGAAGATTTACCGGTAGTACAGGTAATTATGACCGGCGAGGGTTAAATTCATTAAATAAAGTTAGTTTGGGGTTTTTTCATTAAATACTTAGTTTATGGGTTTTTACCCAAAACAAACTTAGTTGAGGGGTTTCTATGTTAAAAATCCTTTGATTTTTGAACCTTTCTTTATTTTTTGTGAGCAGAAATGTAAATTTTTTTGTCTGTTGTTGCTTAATTGTAGCATTAGTTTATCTCCTCTTATGGTTTCCTCAAATTTCCTTACTCTTGTTATGAGGTCTCAACCTTGTCTTTTTATTTGTTGATAGTTAATCTACAGATTCGGTTTATTGTTATGTGTATTATTGAATGGATGTCGATTATTTTATTCAGTCTAAAGTCTGTGAGTCAATTTCTTCACTTATCTAACCCATACTGTTTTAGATAATATCTTCTTTCGTGAGTCTTGGATCGTTTTTGGTTTATATTGTCATTGATCTTCTTTTTTTTTTTTTAATCTACATCGTCATTGATCTTTTCAGATCATATTTTAACATTAGTGAAGTCGAAAAATGCAAGTGTGACCAATAATAAATGTGAATCGAAGCATGACCAATATGTATATATAAAAGAATTATTATTATGATATTATGAATAGAATTACAATTTGGAAGTGAATATTGAAGGAAGTAATAAACCTTTTGAAAATAAGGCAAACTAATCTACAATTTTGAAAGTGAGTTAGTGAAATTTTCCATCAGGCTTAATTGTGCATTTTAGTTGGGTTCATAAAGTGAACTAATGAATGTTTTAATATTATTTCATGATTAGCAGAGTACCCATTTTAAAAAAGAAAATTGAATGTATTTGTAAATGATTGTAACTAGATAATAGATAATTGCAATTTGTATTTTTCCTTTAAATGAATGAAATAAATCAATAATAGGAAACTGCATGATCTTAATTTGTTTTGTTCTTCTGCTAATGTAATATTTTTGCATGAGATTTTATTATTTTGATCTATGGTTCACTGTTAGTGCAAATTTTCAGTAACTAATTGGCAATCTCTACCACAACAAGTAAGAAACTATAAAAAAAACTATCGAAAAAGAAACTCACATTTTGATTATACTCTTATAGGAATTTATGAAGTTGTTACGTTAATTCCATGGAGGGAACGTTTAATGTTTTTCCAGCACTTGTCTACGCGGCTCGTGTTCTGTCTCCAACCCAGCTTCTCTACCATTGCTTTTCCTTCTTCTTCTTGTCCCCTGCATAACATAATCATTCCGTAAAGGTATAGATTCCGTTGTCATACGAACCTTGAGCTGCGATTTTGAGATGGGACAGGCCCACCGTGGTATTGTTTTTGTGGAAGTACTCCTGGATTCCACAGACATAGTGAGCCTCTATGTTTCCTGCAGCGAGAGAAAGGTCCATGAGATCCTTGTACCTTCTCAACGAAGCGAGGGGATGAATGGTGAGTGGTCGTAGGTTGATGTTTTTGTAGACTTGTGGCTGTGCTGCCGCTTTTGCCAGCCTTGGACTCGCCTCCATGATCTCGCGGACTTCTTTCCGGGAGCTTTTAGAATAGCATACCCCCAACAACCTTTGGATTGATGCTTGTGGCTATGACTATTCTTGGCTCTTTCTTATGGCTGTCAAACTTGGTATGAAACACAAGCGCCATAGAGTCAGACATACTAACACAAACGTTTTCCCCACTGAAAAAACATATACAGCTATACAGTTACAAACATTTTCACCACCTTGACACCGCAAAGCCTCAAACCACTTACCAGGAAGCTGTTTCCCTGTGTTTGCAAGTTCAATCAAACGACTATAGGGCATGAACCGAAAAGACTCAGTAGGTATGGGTCTATCAGGGTTCAATTTCTTGTCAAAGCTCGTGCCATCGTTGAACCGTATCATCAGAGGAGCATCGCATAAACAGAAGTTGGGGCCACTCCGGACAATGTCAAACCCACTCAACATGTACACTGATCCTTCAGTGAGGCGATCCCAGAACCTGAGCTGACGAGTAGCAGCAACAGTTCCTTGCATCACCGTTGCTTGTTGGAAAGCAGTAAAAACACAAAACAGAGAAAAAGCTTCAGAACCATAACAGAGACAATCTTAAAAAATAATGGAAAAGGGAAAAAGATCTTACATCAGCATCAACAAACAGCATGTCCACACTCATCAATTCGCCACCTTTCCTCACATTCCGAGCTTTCCTGAATCGGAGTAACCGGACCTCCGCCGTGTCGGAGCACCGGCCGGATTTCATGTCAGAGAGTAAGATGTTGTAAAGAGCCATCGTAATCTCAGGTAAATGAACAGGCAGTGATTTCTCTTCTCTCTGGAGTCGTGAAACGCACTTCAGAAAGAAGGTTTATTTATACTTGAAGGAAAAGAGGTCGAGCTATGAAGCCCATGGGTCGTCTTGAATGAGGGGAGGTGGAGTGAACACAGATGAATGTGGAGTAAAGGAGAGAAGAAGAAAGAGTCGGTTGATCAAAAAAAGAGTCGTAACGTCCACCGCTGCACCATAGACTATGGTGAACTCTACCGATCCATGGCGTCGGCGGAAGAAACAAAGAAAGATATTTTCTGGATTTGGTAAGACATTCATGGCCTTAACAGTAGGAGAACCAAACATAAGCATAAACCCACCACAAAAAATCGGAAGGCCCATTAGAAAATAGATGCCACGTATTTTTTTGTCCCCCCCCCATGGAGAGATAACAACCCAACTTTATTTTTAAAGATGTCAAAACTATTCAAAAGCTAGTCTATATTTATAGGTTATTCTAATGGGGTTGCACTCACTCATAATGTCAACCATCCCAAAGTCTAAAATCAAAGTTGTTCAGAAAAGAAAAGCATGTTCTCAGATTATCCGGGATATTATAATGTCTAATGATTGGGCAACGATGATGGGTCGTGGTAAACTTCATGGATACTGTGGTAACATTTCTTACTTTCTTTTCTTTTTCATTTTTTAAGAATGCTTATGAATTTTGTGACATATATTTAGATAAAACATGCAAGTCAACTTTTTTTCTTTCTTACAGAGACATGTTGGTTGTTTGATGACTTCGGAAGCATGATAAGAATCAAGTTTAATGCATGTGTTTGAGTAAAAAATATCAATATAACTCAGATGATGATCTTCAAGGAAAAAAAACTAAAAGCAACATTTCGACATTTTTCAAGTTGTCCATGTATTCAAAACTCAATTTAGGTATTTTGGCAAACTTACAAAACACAATCTTATTACAGTTTAAAAAGACCAAATAAATTTACATACAATATTTAAGTAACCAAAATAGCACATGTCACTCCTCTCTTCTTATATTATATGTTAAACGCTAAAATTTGTAAACTTATAGTAAAATTTAAAAATATTTTTCCGCAACTAGCGCCGCGCGGAGGACAAAGTATCTAATATATTAAAAAAGAAGTCATGACTCTTTTAATGTGTGATATTTAAAACGGACCATCTATTAGAATTTGTCACATTACATTATTCAATCATTAACTAGGTTCATAGCTCCGCGCAAGCGCGGAGCCGGAGACAGTGATGATGCGTTATGATGTTTTACATATGAGATTTTTTCATTTTTTGGACATTTTTTTGTTTGGGGTTTAACCGGAAACCCGATTGAATTGAGTTGATATATGAATGAGTGAAAATTCATATGCTTTGAAATATTCATATATTATTTTAGTAATGATTTTCTCGAATATTTGTGTTATTAGTGCTTTTATGTCTAGGATGGGTGATTTATTATGTTGTTATTGTCTAATTTGTAGGTTGGTAGTATATTATTTTTAAATAGTGAATTAACATTTTTTTTAAAAAAATAAGATTTTATTAAATTATACAAAGAAATATAGTTTAATGGATTGAAGAGAAAAAGATGAAACATCTTATATATTAAAACAGAAGTCATGACTTGACTTCATGTGTGATTTTTTAAAAAATGGACTATTACTAGAAAGTCATGTTACATCTAATAATCTTATCATTATTATATCTTATGAAAAATCATATCTTAATAACAAAGATACACTTAACAATTGGTTTTGGTAAATTACCCCACACCTTCCAACTTAGTCACGCAAAATATGTCAATAGATATAAGTTTAGGAATCTTCTATTATTTATAAAGAAATATGTCAATAATAGTTAAATGCATCAATAATATATTAACAAAAATCACAGATTCGTAATATGGAATATTTATATACCCTAACAAAATTTACACGTTATATATACTGGATAATATTTATTTCTATGTAAAATTTTAAAATTATATTGTTTAAAAAAAAGAAATTGTTTAAAAAATTCCTTTTAATAAAATTCTTTATAATATTAATTTATGAGGTTATAAGTTTAGTTTTTAGCAAAAACTTCTTCGAAGTTTATATTATCTTTGCAAATTAAAGTATATTAATATTTAATCAAGCTCTATTTATATTACTTTATCTAAAAATGAAATATTAATCTAACAAACAATAAACTATAGAAAAGGAAACAAACACATGTTTGAAAAATATGTATAATATATTTGATTAAAACACGTATTATATAATATTATTATGTTTGAAAATATTTACTATAGATATTGTAAATATATGATTATTATAATATATACCAATTTACAAGTGAAAACAAAATGTTTATATAACTAACTATAAACGAAAACAAACACCGCGCAAGTAATATGGAATATTTATATACCCTAACAAAATTTACACGTTATATATACTAGATAAATTTATTTCAATGTAAAATTTTAAAATTATATTGTTTAAAAAAAGAAATTGTTTAAAAAATTCCTTTTAATAAAATTCTTTATAATATTAATTTATGAAGTTATAAGTTTAGTTTTTAGCAAAAACTTCTTCGAAGTTTATATTATCTTTGCAAATTAAAGTATATTATATTTAATCAAGCTCTATTTATATTACTTTATCTAAAAATGAAATACTAATCTAATAAACAATAAACTATAGAAAAGGAAACAAACACATGTTTGAAAAATATGTATAATATATTTGATTAAAACACGTATTATATAATATTATTATGTTTGAAAATATTTACTATACATATTGTAAATATATGATTATTATAATATATACCAATTTACAAGTGAAAAAAAAATATTTATATAACTAACTATAAACGAAAACAAACACCCGCGCGGTTGCGCGGGTCAAAATCTAGTGTTTGTTAAGGGGTTGTGTGGAATGTTTAGAGATCAATATTTATTAGTGAGTAAAGACCTGTTTTTATTTACACATAAGATTGTTTGACGAATTTATATGTGTTCGTATTTCTACATTTTTTTTACGATTTAATTGGATCTTAACGTTATTAGTGAGTTAATAACCATATGTAACCAAATATAGGTATTTGTTACTATACAACTATAATATGGGAACGAAGAAGAAATAGTTTTGTTATTCGAAAAGAAATATAGTTTGTTGTTTTCAATGTGCCATGACATGTTTTGAAAATATATAACTGTAGTTTAATAAATGCTAATGCTTCGTATAATTATATACATGTATGACTAAGATAGTTATTTTTTTTTATTTGTCAAAAATATTTTGTGGTAGTTTAAAAATGGGAATGGTAGATTAAAAAGGTTAGTCGTATAGGACTATATTCGAACACGATGAAAATGTAGTAGCTGGGTTTTAAATGATTGGACTTGAAATTTGATGAGTCTTAAGTCTCAATTTAGATCTGAAACTGGATTGTTTACTTGTCCTTTTAATTTCTCCTCGTCATGTTCAGTAGTGTGACAAGCTCTTGTGATTCTTGGTCTGATTGTGTTTTTAGTGTGTCATTTTGTGAAATTATGGTTTTTCTATAGCAACATGGAAGAGAGATTAGCTCACCTCAGTTAAGGCTGTCTCCGTTGCATTCTTTACTCAGTGAACCTCTGTTGATTCGGTGTTCTCGGAACCTGCAATAAGAAGGTTCGAATTTGTTGTATGACTTTATTTTTATTATTATTAGTTTCGTTTACTAAAACCCATACTGAATAATTTGAGTTTCTATATGTTAATTTGGTTGGTATGGCTTATGTTTACTTTAACATGACAGAGAGACTTGAATGCTGCATGACGGATGCCGGTGACGCTAGTTTTAGGAACTGGAGAAGGAGAGAGACATTTTCTAGAAGATGGTTAAAGTTAAAAGGAATAGATAAGTTTTGTGGAGATGCACATAGGGTTCATCAAAGATGAGAATCATACATATATGATTTACAGAGGGGCTCAAATCAGGAACATTTATGATCAAGCGATGTAAGATGGGGAGATGAAAAGTTCACCGGTGAAAAAAATAGATTACGAACAGACACACGCGCAGCTCTGTAACTCAGACCTATATGAGACAATGGTGAAAGGAATATTAACTCATTTTAAACATTGACGGTTTACAATATGGGAAAACTATAATTGTTGTAAACTTGAGGATTTTCTTCATATAATATGATGAAGCCCAATTAAAAATGAAACTCATAATACACTTCCAGACCCGAACTTTAAAGGAGGCCATAGATGCAAAGCTTCCGGCTAAATATATATTAGTTTCGGCCATCAATGTACAAGTTATCTTGTAGTTTAGTGGTATGAATGTTAGTGTTTGTTTCTTAATAACTCGAGTTCGAATCATATGTTTGACATTTTTTCACATTTTTTAAAGTGGGACCCACCTAATGCTGATGTGGCGCGCTGAGGAGTTTTGAAACTCAACTATTATAATATAGATTATAATATAGATTAGTAACTTTAAAATTAGTTACGTATAATTTTGAGCTTACCCAAAAATTTTATTACACTAACAATAATTGGATAACTCATTGGATTTATAGATAATATAATAAAACACATGTTTAAATTAAATGGATATGATTTAGTGTTTTAATAGTATATCTTTATAACTTAATTATTTATAATATATTTGTCGATGTTAACTTTTAAAATTATATGTTTATTTTTTTAAATAACAAAAATCATCATTTTCTAACAATGATTAAGTTATACTATCTTAAACCAATAAAATTTTTTTTTAAGTTATATAGTTTATTTTTAAAATAACAAAAATTAAATGTTTAGTTATTTACTCCACAATATGAAGCTAAAAGTTTTATTTTTGTTAAACTTTTTAAATTTGAGAAATATTACAATATCTTTAAAGATAAGAATAAACAAATATTTTACCAATCTGTACATATATTTACGACTTTAATAATGAATTAATAATTCAAAACAATACATATATATATAAGAAGATACAAATACATGTGAAGGTTTGAAACAATCTATTCGATGAAAAACTATTATATGATAAAATTATTATTTTAAAAAAATTGATATATATATATATATATCAATTTAGAATATATATATATATATATATATATATATCAATTTAGAAATGAAAACAAATTGTTTTAAAAAATTGAAAACAAATTGTTTAAAAAAATTGAAAACAAAATATTTCTGTCAAAAAAATGAAAACAAATACCCGCACAGTTGCGATGATCGAGATCTAGTGATTAGTTAATCATGAAGTTCACTAACACCCAATAATGTTGATGCTATATTTTAACAACAATCTTTAATTCTTAACCTCAAAATCTAAGAGCATCTCCAGCAGCAAACACCCTCTGGCGCGATCCCCGAAGTAAGTGTTTTAATATATATTTTTTTCGTTTGATTTTTTTTTAAAAAAAAAAATTTCAACGAATCATGGTCCGCCACGTGGTGAACTCGTGGCGAACCAGTATCACCACCGGGAGCTTTTGTGATACAGGTTCAAGCTAAAAAAAATTATATTGTTTTGTTTTTTGGGGGATCGTGTGACCCTCCCCCTTGATATATTGTTTTGTTAAAAGAAGAATATATGGAAAGATAATATTAAAGAAAATAAATAGAAAATTCATGTTCAAAATTATTTTGAAAATCATTAGAGCTGGTGACTTTAAATACCGTGTCCGATGGCTAATACTATTATTTTCTAAATATTCCCACCAACGTGAAAAAGACTTGTAATTGAATAAACAAACATGAAGTCCACTAAACAACACCCAACAACGAATATTTTAACGATAATCTTTGATCTCAAGATCATTAGATCCAGTCAAAAGCTTTCTTCCTCGCAAAGAACTTTGAAGATTACAAAACAATGGCAAAGAAAGCTGTGTTGATCGGAATCAACTACCCAGGGACCAAGATAGAGCTGAAAGGCTGCGTCAACGACGTTCATCGGATGCACAAGTGTCTCGTTGACCGGTACGGATTCGCCAAGAAAGACATAACTGTGCTGATCGACACCGACAAGTCGTACACACAACCCACAGGCAAAAACATCCGTAGGGCCTTGTCTGAACTCATAACGCCAGCAAAGTCCGGTGATGTTCTGTTCGTGCATTATAGTGGACACGGTACGAGGGTCCCACTTGAAGAAGGGGACGAGGATGACACAGGTTTTGATGAGTGTATTGTTCCTTGCGACATGAATCCAATCCCTGGTAAGCAGAATCATTTACATTAGTTCTCTTTTTTTCTAAAAGAAAAACAGAGTGCTCTGTTCATAAACAGAGAGAAGAAACAGAGTACTCTGTTTTGTGAATGCTGAGTTTTAATCAGTTCTTATAATGCTGCATTGCAGATGATGATTTCAGGGATTTAGTCGACCAAGTTCCAGAGGGGTGTAAGATTACGTTCGTATCAGACTCTTGTCACAGTGGTGGACTCATCGATGGAGCCAAGGAACATATTGGAGAGAGCACCAACAAGAACCGAAACCAAGAACCAAAAGCTCACTTTTTCGAACTCGAGATATTGAACTTCTTCTATAACGTGTTGATGAAGTTGTTTGCGTTTTGTGGGATCTGGAGTTCTCATGAAGAACCGGACAAGATTGAGATTACAGCTAGATATGAAGTTGGCAAATCAAGGTATCTGCCAATGGAGAGCTTCATCAATGTCCTCAAAGAGAAAACAGGTAAAGATAACATCGAGATTGGGAAAATAAGACCGACCCTTTTCGATGTATTCGGTGAAGATGCCAGCCCTAAGGTGAAGAAGTTCATAAAAGCGATGCTCACAAAGTTAGATCAAAGTGGGTTCGTTGGTAAGGTTGAAGGAAGTGCTCTAGAGAGTGGTCGTGAGATCTATAGAGGAGGATCAAGCAGTGGATTGGTTCCAGACAGAGGGATATTATTGAGTGGGTGTCAAACGGATGAGACATCAGCAGATGTGAAGAAGGGTGGAGAAGCTTATGGAGCGTTTAGTAACGCGATTCAGATGGTTTTGTTGGAAGGTGGGGAGAGAGATAAGATCACCAACAGGGAACTGGTTTTGAGGGCAAGAGAGATGCTCAAAGAACAAGGGTTTACTCAGAGACCAGGATTGTATTGTAATGACCGTTTTGTGGATGCGCCGTTTATTTGCTAAACTTAGTAGAGACTATTGTTTTCATTCAAGACTGTTATATTATTATTGGACTGTGATTTTTTTTTTGTGTACATCCTAAAAATGGATGATTTATGAGGTAATAAAGTGATTTGTTTATTTGGAATAAGTTGTCCTTCAGATACTAGAATGTTTGTCACAGTAGTGGTATCGATGATGAAGCTAAGGAGCAGATATGAGAGAGCACAAAGAAGGGAGGCCCTTCAGGATTTGCAAGCAAAGGCGCTTGAGATTATGGAAGAAGCATTTGAATCTTCAAGGAAACTTCCTAGAAAAAGGATGGAGTGCAAAAATAGATAAAATAATTGACGTGGCAGTTAAGATAACACAAGAGCATCTCATTCCATCTTGGTCACAAAGTCATTCTTTTTTTGAATTTATGCATCTAATTCTATCCATCTAATAAGATCTTTCAATGTATAGTATATAAGTTCTAGGTTTTGAATTATTCATGTGGGTCAGGTCAGTCAAAATGAAGTCCTCCTATTTGTGGTTGCAAACGGAAGAAGAAACCGCGTTAAAGGAAAATGATAAAACAATTATGAACATTGAATAAAATACAGTAGTGGGTGTCTACAGACTATAGAGTAGTCTCCATAGATATTCCCAAGGAAACAAAACTCTTTGCCAGATTTCAAGAATTGGAAGAAGAAGAAGAAGAAAATAGAGATGTCTACGGGTATGGGAAACTTCTTCCGGAAGTTGGGAAGCGGAAAAGATAAAAGCAGTCCAAGTTTTACAGAGAGAACGACGTCGTCTGCATCTGATAAACCATCACCGTCTAATCCTTCAGTCTCAGTTTCAGACAATATCAAAGCCGCCAAGAAGAAGTACGCTCTCATCCCTGACCGCTTCGCTTCCCTGGACCAGGTTCTTTATCTTCTTTATATCTCAGTTTCTGTCGTTGACTTGACTTTTGACTACCATGGCTTCTGTGTACTTCCATATTCTTTGAGTTCTTTAGAGTCTAACTTGATAACGTTTTTAAAAAGGTTTCAAAAGCTCTAAGAGAAGCTGGTCTTGAATCATCTAATCTCATTCTTGGAATTGATTTCACTAAGAGCAACGAATGGTCTGGTAAAGTATTAAAAAAAAATTAACTTAACTGTATAGTTTACACTAGAATGTAAAATAGAGTGATTATTTTTTTTTCCAGGGAAAACTTCTTTCAATGGAAAATGTCTGCACGCTCTCGGACAAACTCAGAATCCATATGAAAAGGCAATCTTTGTAATCGGACAAACGCTGGCTCCTTTCGATGAAGACAACCTCATCCCCTGTTTCGGCTTTGGCGACTGTGAGTTTTTGTTTCTCAAAAACAATCTCATATTCAAATCTTTACTCACTGTGTGTTTCTTTCATCGTTACCCAGCAACCACACATGACGAGGAAGTGTTCAGTTTCCACAGTGACAACTCTCCATGCCATGGCTTTGAAGATGTCTTAGCATGTTACAGAAAAATCACACCTAACTTGCTTTTATCAGGTCTTTTTCCTAATCTCTTGCCTTCATTACCAAACCACAAGCTTCTGAATAAGCTTTTGTCTCAAAAGGGCCAACGTCGTATGGACCAGTCATCGATGCTGCTGTCGACATTGTTGAAAAGAACAACGGTCAGTTCCATGTTCTAGTGATTGTCGCTGATGGGCAGGTAAAGTTTCAACCTTTTTTAAAACAAAAAGAAAACAGAGTATGAGCACTTAATGACAAGGCCATAATCTGAATGTGAAAGGTAACGAGAGGTTTTGATACGTCTGAGGGGGAACTTAGTAAACAAGAGAGAACAACTATCGACGCCATTGTTAACGCAAGGTGAACAGTTTCTACTTCATTTCTGCAACTCTGTTTTTTCTAGAAGCTTATTCATTTCACGTTGCAGCTCATATGCTTTGTCGATTGTTTTAATCGGTGTTGGAGACGGTCCATGGGAAGACATGAGGAAGTTTGATGACAAGATCCCTAAGCGTGAGTTCGATAACTTTCAGGTATCAATCTCATTCACAGTTTCCGTTCCATATGTATCCCCTTTCTTCAGGTCTTAACTTGATCTGCTCTCTGCAAAGTTTGTGAATTTCACAGAGATCATGAAGAGAGATTCATCAGAGTCAGCCAAAGAAACTGCATTTGCTCTTGCTGCTTTAATGGAGATTCCCTTTCAGTATCAAGCAGCAACCGAACTCAACTTACTCGGGTACTCCCATAAATGTCTCCAAGAGACCGAACAAAGCTACTGTCTGTCCGTTTTTTCTGTCTTAAACTACTTATCGTGTTCTAAATCTCTAAAGGAAAACAACCGGCGTAGCTAAGAAAATAAATCCGAGGCCACCACCTATTCCTTACACACCTCCAATTCGTACTGAACTACCATCACCTGCATCTGACGAACATACTCAGGTCCTAATATTCGCTTACACCTTTCACTGTTACTGCCTTGTCAAATCAAATCTCATCTGCTATTGTTTCTCGTTAAACAGAGTTGCCCGATTTGTCTGACTAACCGGAAAGACGTGGCATTTGGCTGTGGTCACATGGTAAGTGTCACCTAGAAAGTCTTATTTGTTTTCCTATTACTCAAACCCAGTCATGAAATAACAGTTACTTACCTTACTGCAGACGTGTGGAGATTGCGGATCAAGGATAGAAAACTGTCCCATCTGCAGAGTACTGATCACAAGCCGGCTAAGGCTTTACACGTGATCAATGCCTTTGCACATAACAAGGCTCTTGTACATACTGTCTTTCTCCATCTTAGAATCTCCAGTTTGGTTTACCAAGTGTCTCTGACTTTGTTCCATAATCAGCTTGTACCATTTTGTTTCCTATGTACTATAGATGTTTAGCTGGCAAACAAGAATGATGAAGAAGCAATGTACAAAACATGGGTTTTACATTTTATTCACTGTCACAAAAAATGTTCAAAGTGACTGAATCTTGCACCAGATTAAAAACCACAAAGTATGCAACATTCAAAAGGAAGAAACATGCCATCTTTACATCGAGGAAAGATTCGTAAGAGGCATGCATTACAAAAAGCTCCCTCTAAGAAGTCATCATCATTACTGAGGTTTGCTTTTCACCGTGTCATTTGGCTTTGGCACTGGCTGAATCCTTTGGTAAGGCTTCCTGGTAAGAGTCTCTCCTCTTAGAGCAGCCACGTATCTATCGTTAGTATCTTTCTTCTGTTTCAACTCCCCAAGGTATTCAGCTAGCCTCTCTTGGTTTACTTTACCCATCATCTGACACATACAATCCAGACAAAAAAAAATGTTGTTCATCAGCACCAAGTATCAACCTCAACAAAAACACATGCTTTTAAGTTAAAACAGATCTGCCTTAAGATCATTAACATTTAGCTACCATCAAGAAACTGTAATCACAAAGCTCAATAAACTAACTTTCCAACAAGCATCAATAGAAAACAAATTACATTTTTTATTAGAGATAATAAACCCTAAAACCCTAAATTGAAGATCAAGAAACCCTAAAACCCTAAAATTTCCAGGAATCCGATCAAGGACCAACCCAAAATGCTTAAAGGAAGACACTTTACACATCAATTAGGATAGATAGGAGCGATACGTACGGTGGTTTCGGGTCGGGCGGATTGTCGGAGTCGGGCTTCGAGCTCCGGGTTAGTGGAATTGGTGACCTGCATAACACCGTAGCCGATTATTCCAGGAATGACACCGCATACAGTAGCGAAGGTGAAGAAGAAGGATCTTGAATCTCGCGTCTTCCTCACTAGCCATCTCCATGTATCGCTCTTCTCGTACAAAAACGACATCGTTTCTCTCTCTCTCTCTCTTTCTCCGGTCACCGTGGTTTCTTGGGTTCTTGATTTTCTGGTTTTACTTAGAGGTTTAATACTTTAGCGTATTTACAAACAACTCCTATAGTTCTATATAATTTTATATACGCCCCTGGATGTATCTTAACTTTTAGTTTTTACCCTATTAGTTTAGAAATTATATTTCACCCCTACAGTTTGTTTTAGGATAACAACACCATCAAGTAGTTTGTTTTGGGTCAGGAGCACCCTCTTTTTTTTTTTAGTTTTATGAAAAAGATATATTAAAACATCTCGTTTATGAAGTATCCCATAAGAGCATCTTTAATGCAGATGCTTAGAGAGCTGCTTAGGTGAATTTTGGATTTAAAAAAAAAAAGAAAAATAATGTATTTCTCTAAGACACTGTGCTTAATTAAGCACAAGAAGCATCAGTGCTTGGTGCACACGTGTCATTAGACGCGTCTATCTCAGAAACAAGGAGTCTTCTTCTCTCCCTCGACGTATTCTCTCTTTCTCTCCCTCGATGACTCCGATTGAAACCTTGACAACTCTGCGATTCCTTGTGATTCATTTGACTTTAGATCTCTCCTTCTCTTCCTCTACGAATCCCCGTTTCCGGAGAAAACACAAAAAGGGACACAGATGCAGAGACATGAGCGGAGAAGGGTATGGTTAGGGATACAAAACACAATAAAGCTAACAGTCTCATTCGCCTTCCCAGATTACACATGAAGTATAAAACGCAATAAAGCTTCGTCCTTTATCTTCTCAGACTCTCTTGTGATTAAAACCAAACATCTAATTAACTCTATTTTCGATTTTGTAGTCAAATTGCTGTTGATTTGTGTGACTCTAAAGCTGGTGCTGAGCTCTTAGACATCATTCGTATAAAGGTGTGGTGAAAATTCCTACAATGATAGATATGGTGATAGATGATAGACAGTGGGAACAAGTGTGTAGAAGATTTAATGGCAGTGATCTTTTATGTCTCTTTTTTTGAATGCTTAGTAGTGAATGGTTCATGAGAATCTAATTGATGTTAGTTTAGTGAACAAGTTTGTATGTGAATTCACAAGCTTTATGCTTTGGTGGCTTCATTAAGTTTAAGTGATTGGAAAGTAACAATGTTCTTATTTGTTTGAATGGTCCAGCAAGCTCCAAGACTGTGTCTTAAAGATTCAGCTGTTAATTATTTCTTGTGTATATTGTTTTTTACCAAAGTGTGGGGCTTTTGATGAGATCGACGTCATCATGTTCTGCTCTTGTTTCTTAGTTCTCTGTCTTTGCAGAGCTAGTCTAGTGGTAAACCGTGTTCCATTGTTCTGATTTTTTAGAATATGAAAGACTCATCTAGTGGTGAATCCATTGCTCTGTTTCTAGAATCTGAAAGACTTCAGCTTACTCTGATAAGTTGTTATAACTTTCCAATTTTGTTTACATGTTCCGAAATTAGTTTCAATGAAAGGAGCCATAAAATCTTTGGGATTGGAAGAAGCGAGGAGGGAATGGTTGTTGTGTGGAAGAGAAAATGAACACATCTTTTATAGGAGCTGGCCACGACTTGTGCTGACCGAAAACACAATGTTAGTAAGTAACATTTGTAATACAGTTTGAATAATGCCAACAGAACATGTTTTTGATTAGTTGTAGTAACTTGTGTTGATGTCAATATTTTTTAAGAACCCTTAAATAAGATATTTGCATTGGAAGACATTAATTAGAAGTTGCTTAAGAAAAGTGTTTAACATCCATCTATTATTAAAAAATTGATTAAGCACTCCATGAAAGTGCTTAGGGTTGATGATGCTCTAAGGTTTTGACAAAAAAAATACATATATCCCATATTCTCATTTGGTCATTATACCAGCATATATGTTTTTATCACAAAAAAAAATTCACATCTTTCACACAGAAAAATAAAAAAAAAATGCAGAAAACATAAATAAAATGAGAAAGAGATTAGAATTTAGTTGAATCTCACTTATGAAGTATCTCATAAGGTTTTGACAAAAAAATACATATATATCCCATTTGGTCATTTTACCAGCATATATGTTTTTATCACAAAAAAAAACTTCGCATCTTTCACACAAAAATTCAAAAAAATGCAAAAAACATAAATAAAATGAGAAAAAAGTTAAAATTTAGTTAGCTCAAGTCTAAAGAATATTATATTTGTAGATAAAAGATTCTTGAAACACAATTGATTATACTATATGATATAACATTGTAGCCTTCACGTTCACATATGAAATACACAGAAATAAAATATGGTTTTATCAATCGGACCTGAACGGCACGGGGTAGGTTTGGTTACATTAATAGTGTAACAGAACAAAGTTTCACTGAACATTTTTAGCAACCAATATGGCTAGTCTTCACGGCTTGGTCACTCTGCTCTTGTTCTTCCATTGTATCACAAAGACTTGCTCCTCTAGTCTCAGGTAGAAGCAAAGCAAAAAAACCTAAACCCGACACAACAAACCCAAAAACCGCAAAAGATATAGACGGAACATTTCTTCCAACCGAAGCAATGATCGGACAACAAGCTCCACCAACTACAAGCGCTTGTCTAAGCATCGTCGTCGCAAAATTCCTCACGCACGTTGGAAACATCTCAATCATATAAACCGCCATCAAATTAAACCCGATCCTAGCGCAGAAGAAAGAACAAAGCTCAAAGACAAAAGCTAAGTTTGTTCTCCCTAAAAGTGTCAAGACGAAACAGAACACTCCTAATGCTCCTCCGACAAAGCAGTTCACAAGCACAGAGGTTCTTCTATTAAACTTCTCTAGCAAGATCGGTGTAATAACAAACGTAGGTAACTCCACCATTGCGTTAAGAGCTTCGCTTAAATAGATGTTAACCTTTATGTCTCTAACCGCTAAGGGAACTCCGTAATACATCATACCCAAACCGAACATTATGATCATAACAACAACGGTTCTTCTAAAAGCCCATCTTCTTTTGAACAAATCCATGATTGAGCTGCTTGGAGGTTGTTCTAGGGTTTCTTTTGAAGGTAATTTAGAAGATACTGTCTCCAAGTAACCTCTCTTTCCAGGTGACATTCTTTTGAGCACTTCAATAGCTTCTTCGTTGTTTCCTTGCACATGAAGCCAACGTGGAGACTCTAAAGCAAATAAGTAGATCAAAACACTGTGGATAGCTGCTGGAACGGATGTGCAGAGATAAATAAACCTCCAAGAAGCGTGTCTAACAAGAAATGCGATTCCGGAGAGAGACATAAACCCTAACACAAACAGAGTAAAGGGAATCATAGTAGCTCTCGGTCTCCATTTTGTGGAAACTCTCTCACCTATGAGGTTAAACGCGTACGTCCCGGTCTGTGAACGCGCGACTCCGATGGCGAACTTCAAGAAAGCGTAGCTCCATATGTTGGTGGAGAAGAAAATCAAGATACCAGTTAGTGACATCGCTAGGGTTGTGTAGAAAAGTAGTTGCTTCCTCCCCAAGAAACCGTCTGGAATCATAGCCATGAACACACCTCCAACGATAGAACCAATGTAGAAAGCAGACGTAGGGAGACCTCTGAGGAAGGAGCTCGAGCACTCGAGATCGAACTCTGAAATGACGGATTTACCCTTGAACCCGCCGTCCCATTCCCAAGCTGACCGAGGGAGTTTACAGATGTCGGTGGTTGCGGGAGTGCACAGAGTGTGGTCAACACAATGCCATGTGGGGTATGCATCTGTGAAGACGGTGATGAATATCTGTTGGGCATCGAAGGTTAAGGCAAGCCCGACAAGAACCACTTGTAGAAACTGTGACAGACTTAAATCAGACAAGCTTTGTTCGAAGATCTTGTCGAAGTTTAAAGGCTGAGAAGTCTCTTTTTCTTCGTCGTCTTCAGGATGGTTTAAGAGTGGTGCTGATGGATCCGCCATTGTTGCTCTCTTCCTCTGACTTTTCTCTGAGAGGTGACAATCAACTTGTACCTGGCAAAATATATAATATGGTATATGAAACTTCTAAATCTCGCATGACGTGCGTGGTCAACGGCTCAAAAGATCGTGATCTTTACTGATCAGTGTTTGAGATTTGTTTGTAGATTGTCTTTTATTTTATTTTTCTGACTAATAATGGAACTGAAACATGTGCGTATTGAATACAGTTTTTGGTTATGAAAAGTCAACACCCACGACATGTTTATTCATCAATGATCATCATACGTACTTTTAAAAAATCATATTTGGGCCGATAAGTTAAAGCCCAGTTAATTCATATTTGCGCCGGCAAGTTAGCTCAAACATGAATTAAAATCACCATTCACATGTTTTTTGATTAACCTCGGGGTATCATAGACCTATGGAGAGTCCCAAACTAATCCCTAAGAGGAGGTGCAGTCCACGGATAGATCCTCTCTCCAGATATTCAAATGGGCCCTAAAACATAGGCTCATATCCGTGTTAGGTGATCATGATAATTATAACTTAATTTCGCCAACAGGTAGATCGAACCTGAAATATGTTGGTGTCTCAGTCCCGTCTCCTTACCACTCGACTACAATCACCCGGTCATCACCATTCACATGTGACTAGAGAATGGCTGAAACCTGACTTCTAAAGTCTACAATCTACATCTTGGTCCATGAACGATTATGGACACAACGGGTGAAACATTCATCTTGATTTCCAAATTTTAAAGAATTATTATACATAGATTGTATGACGAATTAACATTTTTAAAAAACTTGTGCAAAAACCTTAAAGACCAACTGATATAAAATAGAGGGAGTAGCTAACAACAAAAAGACAATGTATTTAGTTTGTACGTAAGAGAATTTAAAACATATATCTGGAAGCAATGCATGGATGAAGTTTATTAATAGTACTAAATTAATATCGGATAATACTCAATACAATTTGTTTAATCTAATTAAATAGGTTTCATAATTGATAAATAGAAAAGAAAAACAGAACGTATATAATGAGAGAGCTGTAAGTGTAAAAGGAAAAGAGAAGCTTCCTCGAGAAGTGCACACATGGGAGTGAGTTCATATCTCTTTCTATATATGCTTCGCCTTCTTCTCCTTTTTGCCTTTTGTTTTTATCAGCTTTTAGAGAGAGAGAGAGTGAGAGAGCTTTCTCTTTAGATGCCAACTCGCAGTGATGACCAGATCTTTATATACATCTCCCTCTCTCTATGACCCACAAAGTTAATCAGTGTATCTATCTTATTCTTACATGTATGAGCCCGTACATAATTTGAATTTTGTTGTGACGAATTGGATGCATCGAGTAATTAAACAAAAAAAATATCTTTATCAGGGAAACACTTTTGATTTACAAACACTTTAATCAGTTTAAAAATAGGAACTAAGACCGAATTAGTGAACTAATTTTACTTGTTGTCTTGATTTATTTGTATGGTCAGATGAAGCAAAAAAGAAAGAAAAAGAATAAAGAACAAAGATAGATACCAAGTGTCGGTTAATTTCTCTCATGCCAAGTTCTTTTATTTCTTTTTTGGAAAGGATGTTGTAGATATCAGTCTCCAGACTCTCCACACACACATACATGCATACTTACTTACTTTCGTGCATACATATGAAATCAAGTGACTATATACATTTGAATCAAAGTTTGCAGCTTTTCTTGCTGTTTGCATGTGGGTTTTCCCAAAACCCTAGTAACATTTTCCTTTGGTGGGGATTATCATCGCTCTCTCCTTCGTTTTTCTTATTTACTCATGATTTTGTTTCCCATCAATTTAATTTTACGTTTGGAATTTAGTTATCCAATGCAGATATCTCATTTTAGCGCAATCATATAAAGACATGAAGTACAAACTAACTTGAGACTGAAATGCCTATAACTCGTGGAAAGGCAAAGGTCCTTCAAAAGCTAAAATACCGTACATGCCTTGAAACATGAGCAATCTCTATTCTCTACTTACAAATTGCTCATTAATGTTTGTTACGTTCATGCACGAGATATATTATACTGGTTACGGCTTATTTGTAATATCAATAAATACACACTGCCCGGTTAAACATATATATCTTTTTTTTTTGTCACAAGAACACACACATATATATATATATATATATATCTATATCTATATCTATACTACTATATATCATGTATAATTAGCATACTCCATCCGTTTCATATTAAGTGTCGTTGTAGAGAATTTTTGCGTTACAAAATAAGTGTCGTTTTCGGTTTTCAATGGAAAATTTATTAATTTTATTATGTAATTTGTTTTTCTATTGGTTAAAATATAGTCAGGTGTACGGGTAAATGTGTTTTTATATAGGAAATATGTAAAATTAATTATTTTCTTAATCCGTGTGCACAGATCTTAATCCGTGTGCACAGATCTTAATCCGTGTGCACAGATGTAGAGTGACACTTATAATGAAACAGAGGGAGTATATATTTACATCGGTAAGGCTGTCATGAAAATCGTACAATTTAAATATAGAAAATAATATTGTGAATTTATTTAAAGTGTCAATTATACAAAAAGCCACACAAAAACTGCTATCAAACATATACTATCAAAAATAGTTCAGCATAAAACACAAGAAGAAAAAAATAGTGGATGATGAAAAGAACAAAATCATACAATCATTCGGCCATTCTACTGCTAACAGTGAAGACCAACTTTTAAACATTCGACTGGAAGAAAATAATAAGTACAGAATGAATTCTACATATTATAGCAACAACAGTGATATATAGTTTCAGTACAAGTAAATACGAGCAAAACTAATCCAATACACGTAACAAACTTTGTCTTCTTTTTTTTTGCTGGTCCCATCTCTAAATCGTCAAGTTCATAATAAACAAAATATATATCTCGTGCTTCTCACGTTCTCATGCATGATACATCACACAAAAACAATCACTGTATCACCCAAATGGTGAGTTCATCCCTTGTATTAACCCACCAATAGGGTTCATCATAGGACTCAATGGTGATCTTCGAGGTGATAGCCTTTCCAGTAACTTCCCACAGTTATTTTCTGATAGAGAATCCAAATCAGTCGAGACATGTGTAGCCATTTGTATCTGAATCTGATGCTCATCATCGTTCGGTTGGTTTCCGACAAGATCGTGATCTTGGTTAGACCACATTAAAAGTTCTTTGCTTACATCGTTACCAAAAGTAGGGTTTGATCGCTTCTTCCCCAAGTAAATGTTGGTGTCTGCAGCATTGTTGTTGGCCGTGTAATGGTTCTCTATGTTCTGATGATGGAAGTTATGATGGTCGAGGACTTGTTCGGTTGTGTTTCCATAGATGTTTAAGTCCTGGAAGGATGGGAAACTAAGAGGATGAGGAGATGAACTTCCAAAATTTCCCTTGTACCCTCCTCCTACAACCGCGGCGGCTGCCATGTTCTCACCGGCTAGGGTTTGGCAAGCTCTTTCCAATATAGATTGCATGTACTTTCCTTGTGCTTCAATCCTCAGCTGCAAATGTCTCTGCACCTAAAAACATTTAAATGCAATATATGTTTATAAGAATTTAATCTTTGGAAGAGTTTGTTATCATAAAATATCAATAAAATAATTACTTCTAGCTGTTCGTGTAATCTTCTCTGCACTTCGATTTGCATCCTGATTAAATAAACAAGTGTATAAGTAGCTGCTAACATAAAAATAAAATCAAAGTAAATCAAATTAACGATAAGAGAGGATATATATATACTCATTCATGTTGCGACTTATCATGCCAGAAGAAGAAGCTACGTTGCGCTGAATATCCATGACAGAAGCTACAAGGTAAAATATTTATTAAGAGAAATAGATGGATTAAAAATATACATACGCAGATATATAAAATATATATACAAAATTTATGTCTAATTTTTAGAACCCTAATATGCTAGAGAAAGGAAGCGTAGTCACCTCTTGAACCTTCCTTTGTGGAGTGATCTCCATACTCCTTGTGAGGCTGCTTTCCAAGCCTGAATTTCTGCAGCCGTAGATCCAGATGATGTTTTGTATTAAAAAAGCAATAATTATATTATGAAGTAAAAAGAATAATAAAGAGAAGTGAAAATTAAAGAAAGGAAGGAAAGAAAACCCTAACTGATATTTGTGTACATACCTGAAGATGACTCTTTAGGTGGTAAAGAGTAAGACCCTTCACACCCATAACTCATAATCGTCTTTGGAGTCGCTTCTGTAAAATTTAAAACGATCAAACACTTTTTATTATAATTCATTATTCTTAGTTAAATCAAGATAATATATATATATATATATGTGCGTTTGGTGGTGTGCATACTGTCGGGGCCGCCGAGCTGAGCGACGGCATCGACGAAACGGTCGTGTAGTTCGACGGTCCAACGCAAACGGGGTTTAGGGTCGGTGGTGAGGACGAGGCCTGAATCGCCTTGAACACACATAGCTCTGTTCTCATATGAACCATTCATACTTGAAGGTTTCTTAGCATGGAACATTCTCTCTCTGTTACTCTCTTTCTCTCTCTCTCTCTAGCAGAGAGATTCAAGGAAACGAATGTGATGCAAAAATGTGAGAGAATACGATGCGTTTTTGAAGAGATTAGATGACGGCTTTTTTGCTTTTTTTTTCCTCTCTCGTCTTTTTTTGTGTGGCTAAAACAAAATTAATAGTGTTTATATATAAATATAATTATTAATATTGTTTATCGTTACTAAGTAAAAGTAAGAAAATTTAGACTATAGTATGCAGACGGTTCCTTTTGTAGAAAGACACTGTCGCTATCAATTCAATCTAATTTATCTAAAAAGGAATACAAATTTAGATTTACCCCTTAATTTTTCACAATATTTACAATGTTATACCATTGATGTATTGAATAGAGTTATATTTATGGATATTTTGTCTTTTCCAAAATTAATACAATAACAATTATTCATAATTATATGTTTTCATATTTTTTCTTAAATTAGTAAAATATTTCCTAAATTAATTTATACTAGATTTTGAACCGCGCTTTAAAAGCGCGAATATAATTTTACTATTTTGATAAAATTTGATTGATTTTATAAATTTTATAAAAAATAAATAGTTTTAAATGTAGTTATATTAGTGTTTCAAAATTTTATTCTATTGTATTTAATTTCCAGGAAATGTTTTCATATCCAACTCAGACTGTGGTTGAACCGATAAATCCGGCGATCTGTGTTTAATCCGGTTCAGATTTAATAAAATTTTGTTAGTTAAAATTAGATAAAAATCCAAAGCCATCTATTAACCCGTGATCCGATATTAGATGATTCGCTGAAAAAAAATATATATATATAAGACTGAAAATTGTAATATCTTATACTTTGGTGGATTTTTTACTAAGTCGTTTAAAAAAAATGAAATAATAGTAATAGAAAAAGTAAAATTTATTGATATGACAATATAATTTCTTTTCCGCTTTTAATAACTTATGAAAGTTACTTCTTTTTATTTTAGATGTAAAATTTAATTTTATAATAAGTTTTAAAATATTTTTTGAAGGTTCAAAAAGTAAAAATGACATAGTAAATAATATTTTTAATTTTCATATATATATATATATATATATTCAAATTTGATTTTTAAATAATACTAAGCAAGAAAAATAATACTCAAATTAAATGAAATGTATTATTTACATAAATTAGAATTAATAATATTTACAAATTATGGATAGTATTAGTTACCAAAAATATAGGAAAAAATTTGTTTATTTTAAATAAATAATATAACTATTAAAATTAAATGTCAATGGCATAGCAATGTAAATAACTTAAAAAGTAAGGGCATAATCTTAATAGAGATTCTGATTTAATAGTATAAAGTAGATTTTGACCTGCACTTTAAAAGTGCGAGATATTTTCCATTGTAAAAAATCTAATTAAAACACACTAAATATATTGTTATGGATGTTAAAATAAGACATTTGTTATATTTAAACTCATCTTATTTGGGAGTCATACCGTTAGTTATAACTCGTTTAAATTGAGGTACTTGGTTTAACTCAATTAGACCAAGTTAGTTATAAATTCTTCTGAACCACTGAATATGTGTTATTTTCTATTTTTAAGTATAATTACATATATTACTTTATAATTTATAAAATAATTTATATTGGTTATATATATATATATTTATATATATATATATTTATATATATATATATATTTATTGATTGATATAGTTATGAGTTATTATTATATGTTTTAAGAAAATGTGAGTATTAGAATAAATGCGAAAGGTTTGAATATAGTTAGATAATTAATTTTTAGAAACATGTTAGCCAATGTAAAACCAAACATGCAACCCGGTTTTGATCAAATCTGGTATGAATATATAACTATATCTTTAAAATATTAATATGACTTTATTAAAAGTAAATATATATTTTTAATAACGAAAATTGGGAAGTAATTAAATAGTAAACAAAATCTTGAGAGAATATAGGATATATATAAATGGTATAAGATATTAAATACTGCAATACGAATGGATTATATTTCTGATAAAAATAATTAATTAATTTATGCATAAATGTAGGAGTGATATGATTTGTAAATAATTTTAAAACTAATGGCAGAATCCTAATAGAGATTCTGCTTTAATAGTATATATATTCCATAGCAACATTTTTTTTGAACCACATAATATTAAGGTTATTAACACTAATGCACATCAATAATATAAATAAACTATTTATGTAACAATATAAGTTG